GTTTTCAACTGTGGTGATTCTGTACTTCCAGACTTCTCCCTCCTTACCCTGTACTTGTGTAGCAGACAGACCTTTCTTTACACTCTGCACTGCTTTTTCTCCTTTGCAGACCCACGAGAATCGTGAACATCTTGTGATGATGGAGAAAATCCTTGGGCCCATTCCATCTCACATGATCCACAGAACTCGGTAGGAACCCATACCTCAACTCTAAAAGAGCAGTCAGCTGCTGGTGGTGGCTGATTAGTCAGGACTCCAGCTCTCTGTTCACACACCAGGTCTTATTTCTGTAGGTGTGAGCATGGGAAACTTGCTGCAACTTGGTTTTGAGCTTGATCATAAGTTTTAGGGGAAATGGTTGAGTCTTTCAGTCTTACTGGCTGCTGTTCTTCTGGGTGGGTAAGCCTTACTGAACACCTCTTTCCTCCTCTCCAGAAAGCAGAAATACTTTCACAAAGGGAACCTGGTGTGGGATGAGAACACATCTGATGGGAGATACGTCCAAGAGAACTGCAAGCCGCTGCGTGTAAGTGCTGCTGAATCCCTGTGGGGTTCCCTTCCTGAGGTCTGTGCTGGGGGAAGGGCAGGAGGTACAGAGCCCCAAACTTGACAAAGTTGTGCCAGCCATAACCTTGCTGTAGGTCACAAAACTGGGGGCTGGTGTTTGCTTCCTCTTGTACCAGAATCTACATCTGTCTCACCTGCCCTTCTGTTTTAGACATACATGCTGCACGACTCCCTGGAACACGCACAGCTCTTTGACTTGATTAGAAGGATGCTGGAATTTGACCCTTCCCGGAGGATCACATTTTCAGAAGCCCTCCTGCATCCCTTCTTTGCTGGCCTCTCTGCAGAGGAACGGATGCTGTGCGGTCGTGGCACCAGCCGGGACCTGAGCAGATGACAGCTGGGGAGGGTGTGATGCCTGCTAGATTTGTACAGATGGGAGTGGTTCTCTCTTCTCTCAGAGTTCAGAGGGACACTGTGACATGAACCCTGGGTCGGGGAGGAGAGGAAAAGCTACAGCAGAAAGCACAGATTTGTCTATTTATATGTTGTAAAGTTAAAATAAAGTGTTTCTTATTGTTTGATACTTCCCTCGTAGGCAGGTGTAGGGGTCTCTTGTGCCCAGGTTTATTTTTGCCCCCCTGCCCCCTTAAAGAGGATAGAGCTGTTAAAAAATAGGACACTAAGCAGGACACTTTGCTCCAGCAAAGGGCAAGAAATGAGGTAGCAGGCTCCTGGTCTCTGCCCTTGTGCCTCTGAGCCGTGGAGAGCAGCAGGAAGCTTGTTCCACCAGGCCTATCAGGCTCCAGCATTATAACAGACAAGTGAATAGCACACATGAATAGTTGCACTTTATTTCAGGGCATCCCGCAGCAGCAGCAGGAATTAGTCATTACAAACATTGGGTCACAAACAGAATCGAGCAGTGACACAGTGCAGTGATCTTCACGTGGTCACGACCACAGCAGCGCTCACAGGCAGTTCCTATGATGGTTGTGAAGGTAGAAACTTCTTCATCTCAAACACGTTTAAAAAAAGAAAAGGTGTTGCATTCTTTGAGTTGCAATGGCAGTGTGAGGGAAGGAGGAAACCAAGGGATCTGGCCCTCCTCTTGGTTCTTGCAGAGTGCTCCAGCAGAGCACGCACCTGCAAGGAAGATGCCTTTCATGTGGGTGAGACCCAGGCTTCCTTCCTCAAAGAAGCCTTTGTATCTGAGAGAAAGGACAGCCAAACACCCAGATGTGCTCTCACTTTCAGAAAGCGAGCACAGGGTAAAGGTTAACAGTGCAGAAACACAGCCCCCAACCCCCCACTGTGCCCTAAACACACCACAGGAGTACAAATGGGAAATCATCTTCTGTGCCTGGGGGCTTGTTATGTAGCACTACCCCCTGGATTTTTTGCTTAAAGGTGAGGAACCCTATTGCTGCACGGGCCCTGATGCTTCCGAGGCCACACAGCAGTGACTGCAGGCCTGATGCCAGCTGCCATCCCTGCAAAAGTGTCTTCACCTGGTTCAGTGCCCAACTGGGCATTTAGCTTCAGCCACTGGCACAGCAGCATAGCAGCAAGAAAGGATCCTGTGATTAAGTCTTGAATGTTTTTGCACCATTGCTGCTCTGCACGTGCAATCTACAGTTTAACAGCCAACCCAGAAGAGCCGAGAAAAGGTTGCAGCCTCATTATTGAAAACGAAGTTCCACTGCAAGTGTCTTGAGCAAAGGAACTGAAAGCAGGAGGAATAAGCCTAACAAAGTACTAAACCAACAATCAGGGAACTACTGCCAGCCCTTCTATCTCTCATGCTGCTCTGCAGATGAAGATAAGTTCTAGCTGTCAGGAAACAAGAATTGCAAGCACAAGGCTTCTCTGCTTTTCCAAGAGTCAGCCCCACTGTGCCCCGTGCAGCCAAGTCAGAACCACAGCCTAAGTGCCACTACAGGACAAGCTAAACCATGGCTCTCCTGAGGAGGGGGTGCTTCTGCTTCGCCCTTCCTGCCCCCCCAAGGGCAGAGCAACACCTGCTCAGAGCACTGATAATTCACAAAGCTCAGCCTCTACAAGAGCACAGAGGCTGCCCAGCCCATGCAGATCAGTAGTCGCACCGCCAGCGGGGAAAGCAGCTTGGGGGAACCAGGCTCCAAGAGAGCAGAGCCCTTGGTCCTGCTGAGGTAGATATGGCAAGTCTTCCCCCACCACACAGCTTAGAATCACAGAATATGGCAAGTCGGAAGGGTCCCACAAGGATTGCTGAGCCCAACACCACCCAAAAACCTCGCCCTACTTTTCAGAGTGCTGTCCAAACACTCTGTGAGCTCCTGCAGGTGCAGACCCTTCTCCTAACTTCCACCTGACTGTTCCCTGACACAGCTCAATGCCATTCCCTTAGGTTGCATTGCTGGAAAGAAGCAGCCCCCAAACAGAGCCCTGCAGTGCCTGGCCACCAGCCTGAAGTGTGTAACCCCATTTCCTGCCCACCCTTCGAGCCCGGCCCATTAGCCAGCCGCTCACCCACAACATCATGTAGCTGCCCAGCTGTATGCCAGGCATTCTGTGAGATACTGTCAGAAATAACACCAAAAGTTTTTTGCTGAAATCCAAAAATGATTTACATCAAGTGGCTTCCCTTGGTTAACTAGGTGGGAAACCTTGTCATAAAAGGAAACTAAGTTAATTAAACTGGCCCTTCCCCTCGTAAACATGTGCTGGCTGTGACCATCGACTGTGTTGTCTCAATTATTTTTTCAGTATCTCCCAGCATTACCTTCTCCACAATTTTACCAGGCACTAAAGGTAACTATAGGACTGTCAGTTTTACAAAGTCTCCCCTCCTGCCAGTTCTGACAACTGGGACAATGCAGCTTCCAGTCAACTAGAATGCCTGCAGCCTCCCAGAGCCATTAAAATGTAATTGAGAGAGGTCTCAGGGTGACATTGGTCAGTTCTTGTTATATCCTGGGATGAATGCCATTGGGCCCCAGTCTTCTAGGCATCCAGCTGGAGCAGCAAATCCCACACTATTTGGGGGGTTTGCTGGGAGTTCATTGTTCCTGCAGACACAGACCTTCAAGGGTGCCAGAGTACATCATCAGTGTTGAAGACAGAGGCAAAGAAGGCATCAAAAGCCTCCATTTTATCTGTGCTCCTGTTTGTGAGGCAACCATCCTTATCAAGTAACAAACCTACGTTATCTCCTGACTTCCTCTTGCTGTCAACTTATTTTAAAAAGCTCTTTTTGTTGTCCCTCACAGTAATGGCCAACTTCAGCTCTAGTTGAGCTTTGGCCACACGAATGGTGGAGAGCATCTCTAAAGCCCTCACATAGCTCCTGAGATCTCTTGCAGTGGCCAAAGACTTTTCTTCTTTTCCCACTTAAGTTCTAGAAGAGATCCCTGCTTAGAGCCAAGCCAGAATTCTGCCTCACTTCTTTGACTTCTGCCACTTGGGAATCATCTGCTCATGTACTCTTAAGAGGCAGTAGCTCTTAAGAAGTGATTATCACTGATAGACTTCAGAAGCAGATCCCCAGGGGGAGGTCTGAAGTCTGCTCTCCCCACATCCAGCATCAGATCTACGCTTCCTGGCAAAAATAATTACTCAACTGCTTCCTTTCAACCAGCAAAGCCTTTTACCTCCGCCTCTGATACACTCAGCCTCTGCTCTAAGCAGATGAAAGGGAAAAAGAAATGCCTGATCTGTAAATGCACAGCACACAGGGGTCCACATGTGATGGGCAGGACGAACACAGCTACAGCACAGCTAGAACTATTCCCACACACAGGGCAGCTGTTCTCATGCCTCAGCCTGACAGAATCCAGCTGCCCTGGAGGAAAGGCACCATGTGAAGCTCTGAAGTCCTCCACAGCTGCCAGAACAGGCTGCGTGACAAGTTTAGGATCAGCAGAAGCTTTGAGGGCAGGTAAGGCCCCAGGAGAACAGAATCGGGAGCAAGCAGGAAGGGAGCCATGGACCTCCCCTCTGGGAACGGGGCCCCTGTTTGGCATCTGCCTGCTGTCTCCCGTGTCACCTTAGACTGGGCTCATAGGCCAGAACTGACCCTCACTCCAGGTCCCCAGTGGGCACATGGGGACAGACTCCACATCCATTCCCACCTCTGTGTATTCCCAGCAATGCTGTGGCCCACCTGTCACTACTGGGTACGCAGCCCACTGCGACCCAAGGGCATTCCTGAAGGCCAGGGGTTGTTTCTTTCCAGAAAAAGCACCCAGCCACCACGACACAGGTGTGCACAACCCACCCTCACACACAGCCTTTGTGCCCAAAGGGAATGGCCAGATGGGTGGCCCAATTCCCAAGCCACACGGAGTGTAGGAAGGATACTGGAAACACTGCAGGGGGGCACATCCACACATCACCTGCACCCTACAGCACAGAGGCAGAGCAACACGGCCCTGCTTCGCTGTGCTTCCCCCCACTTCAGCCACTCAGTGTGCCAAAAATAAGGAAGAATTAATAATAAGCAAACCAAAACACTCTGGAAAAGTTCTTTACCGTAACATACCTTGTTCCCCCCAAACAAAGAAACAAACAGCCAAGAGAATACATGAGCAAATAAGGCCTGAGGACGTTGGCGCTCCAGGAGCACATGCTGCCTGAGAGCTTCTGGCTCCTGATACAAGCTTTCTGATGAGGGGACCAGACTCTCTCCTCGAGGGGATGGAACTGCTGTTGCCTTCATGAACAAAGAACAGGGGGGAGAATCCAACAGAACGAACAAAATCAAATCCACCCTCTCACAACAACCACAGGAAAAAAAAAAAAAAAAATAGTTTATTTCTACACAATCCAGGGGTGCTGCTCCCATCAGGACACCTTGCTGGGTCTACCTGCCCAAAAGGACTGGGAAATGCATCCCAAGTCTCCACACCACCCACTGCTTGCACCGAAACGTTTCCATGCACATCCCTATGTTAAATAGTCCCCTGGCAGGTGTGGGCAGCATTTACTGCCCTTACTAGGGACAGATACCACTCTCCTGCGTGTTCCTTCTTACAATGGCACAAGAGAATGAAAACAGCTTTGCAGTTACATTTGCTTCCTTCTTTTTGTTTCATTTTATGACTTTTTTTTTTTTTTTTTTAAATATGGTATTTCTTCTGGAAGGAAACTCTCCAGAACTTCACATCCTTAAGGCTTGCGATGCCTGTTTACCAGTCAGGTTCCACTGGACAGCTTATGTGACAGAACTCCTTCTCTCTTCCTTCAGGTCCACGTGGCTGGATGGGCTCTAAGTGGAGTGCAGGGGGATGACGAATTTGCAGCCGAAGGGTGAGTGGTAGTTTATTCCCACTTCCTGAAAGACCTTCTGGGGAATGCCAATGTCACAGAGGTACACACGCCCTGCCCTCTCACCCAGGGGCAAAGGGAGGCCCAAGGCCAGCGACCACTTGGCATCAATGCCCTGCTCCATTTCACTTATGGGAGGGTCTATGCTGAGGACGGGTGCCCTGTTCTGGTTGGCCCAGTCCACAACTGCTTTGTACCAAGGCTGATCTCTCAAAAAGGCATTTTCGTGACAATCCAGGCAGTTGATCACTAGGTCAACAGGGGTATCGGGGAGATCTGAAAGAAACACAAGCACTGTGAGCAGCAAGGAGCAGCCTCAAACCTCAAGCTAAGGCTCAGTGCCTCCCCTCCTCACGCTGTGCTGCCTGCAGATTTTTTTCCATTTTTGCCTCCAGTACCATCAGTCTTGTTGCATGCAGTCTGGCCTCACAGGTTATCACTGCTGTCCTTCTGCAGAAGACACTGACATCAGTATTTCAAAGCTCTGTAACTTGCTTCAGCAGCCCTCAGATGGCACCACTGAGCTGGCTCTCCAGACCAGGCAACTTAGGAAAGCAGGGGACTTCTCTTTCCATTAAGAAATGGAGATTTTTCTAATCTGCATGCTGAATAAAAAGCATTCTGTTCGGAGTATGCCTACTGAACAGCAGTTTGTCTGCTGCAGTGCTGCCTCTTTCACTCTGTTGGCCTCCATGCACTCACTGTCTGCTGCATTACCTCGTCACAAAGCATCTGGTGTGAGGACTGCTGTTTTCTAACAGACACGTAACCCTGGCACCACAAGCACAGCACAATATATTGGGCAGTGCTCCAGTTCTCACATTCGTTACTCCCAAAAGGTTTTAATAAACTAGGTCTGATGAAGGTGCTGGTGAAACAACAGAGAAACAAGCTCTCTCACAACAAACTGCAGAGTATCAGCTTATTCTAGAGCACGCTCAGATCTGAGCTCTGACAGCTAGCTCAGCAAGGCTGCACGCTTGGTGAAAAACAGCAGTTTGGATGCTCATTTACTTGTAGTTTCAATATGCTGAACAAGGCAGGCTGTTATCCTAAGAGAATGGCTGGTCTGACTCAGCTTCACACAGCAGCTCTTGTGTTTGTTCAGACCGGAAACATCTGTACCAGCACAACTGCTCCACTGTTGGACCTCTCGAGCCTCTGCCATCCCACCAGCCTCCAAGCACACTTCTGGATGCCACTAGATGGTGCCACTAGCACGGACAAGCAGCACCAAACCGACCAGCAGAGACATCTGCAACCTGCACTGCTCCCCGCTTACCTTTGACGCTGGACACCTGCTGGCCTTGTGTCTTGCTGAAGAGGTTCAGCTCGTTGGTAATGGACTCCAGCATCTTGACGAAGTTGGGCAGGAAAAGGATGACGTGGACATCGTGGTTGGAGAGGTGCCTTCCACAGCTGATCCCCTGGGCCCCCTTCACGTGGGGGCCACACAGCAGGGCCACCGTGGGCCGCTGATGCACGTTTTTCGGGTTCAGCCTAAACAAAGACAAGAGGGGAATGGTAATAAGCCCCAAAATCATCTATCTTTGTACTGCAAGAGGGAAAAAAGTTTTTTAAAAAAAAATAATCAGTAAGATGCAAATGAACAGGTGTTTTGCAAGCCTTCCGCTTTCTCTGAAGGAAAGGAACCCACACCCTTGTGCAGGGCTGACAGCAGAGAGCTGCTCTGCTTGCAGGTTCCCTTCCAGATCTCTTTGCACCCATGGCACAGAGCTGGTCCCAGCCTGCCCTGGCTCATCTCACAGCCAGCTTATACTTTCAAAGCAGGGAATATTTCCACTGCTCTTGCAGCAAGCCTGAATTTGGTACAATTTTACTTTAAGAAGGCTTTTTTTTTTTTTTTTCCTCCTGTGACTGTGAAGGGCAACGCTGTGAAAACCACAACAGTTTTATAGTTTAAGTCGTAACAAATAAGCACTCCAAAGCCAGCACGAGTGATAAAGCCAGTCATACATCAGGTTTTTCAGCTGAGAGGGTCAGAGCTGCCTGGCAGGTCACCACTTGCTGCTTTAATTCAAGCAGTCAGGTCCTAGAATGCAAGTAAAGCACTCCTGCACAGAGACTGTTAGGGTTTACCTTCTGTTTCAAGAATGAATCATTTGGACTTAACAATATAAGAATACATGTGCAATTGCTTGGTCACATCAGTAACAACGCTAAGGGCAAGCACCAGTCAGCATGTGCAAAGAATGGCAAATGCTCTCCAATCTTACTACCAAGTGAGGCCTGCCAAGAAGGCAAATGTGCTCAATTTAGTTGTCCAAGAGCTAACTCAGCCTTGTGAAGGGCAGAACAGCGCTTTGCTTTCATTAGCCAACTTTTCAGAGCTATCATTAAACTGTAACGTGTATAAACAAACAAAGGAAAGGTTTAGCTATTTCCATGAAGGGTCAGCTGGTTAAAATCCTGAAATGGTTTGAACAGCCTTGGGTCACGTCTGTGCAAAGCTAAATTCCCTGAAGAAAATGCCCATTAAACGGCAAGAAAAACATCAGCTCTGCTTTGCCTTTGACTCAAAAGACACTTCTGCTCCTGGACACAGAGCCAAAAAGAAGCCCTTCTCTTAGTATTTCATTCACCCAAGGTGGTACGTTCAGTTGGTGCTTATTTAGAGAAGGGAAAAAAAAATAATAATGCTAAAACCTCCTACAAGGGCTCCTCGTCAGGAGCCTGAGCCTCACACTTGTCTGCATGCTTACTGGAAAAGCTGACGTGTGAACTACAGCAGAAGATCTGCCTGGCATTGGGATGAGTTTTTTCTTCTTTTAAGGAGAGAAAACAGGTGACAGCTGTCTCCAACTGCAGGACCACTGCAACAAGTGACAGCAGGCACCTACGTCACGTCTGCCCCAAAAGCAATCTCTTTGCTCTTTCACTTGTCCCCACTTCGAGGAAGAAGTTAGAGGCAAAGAAAGGGCAAAACCCCAGCAGAGGCGATGGGATGAGTGTTACCTGTTGGGTCCCCCGAGCAGGCTCAGAGCCATCTGACTTGCACACACTCCTGTCATCTCCAGCCTCCGTTCCAAGGTCAGCCCATGCTTTTCAGCAACAGACAGCAGCTTTTTGTGAAGCTCATACGACACGCTGGGCACAACCAGCCCGGAGTCTGGATTTGAGGAAGAGATAAAGAGAAAAACCATTAAAGAAAGGGAAAAGAAATGCAACTGGAGACTTTTTTTCCAGAATGCTGCAGTCTGTTTTTTCCCCAGACAACAGTTAGGTGTTACAAAGAGCCTGCTCAACCCAATAATCCCAGTTCCTTCTGAGAGCATCACATGTATTCCATCTTGCCAGCTCAGTTTGCAGCCACCCCAACTACTACCCCAAGGGATATCATCACATCAGCAGCTGCAGTGAACCCACTTATCCCCAGACACTGAGGAGAGATTCTGGAACACGCTTCCTTTCTCAGCCAGGAGTTGCTACTCTGCTTAAAACAGTTACTCCTACAGTGTCAGTAGCACAGGCAGCCTCCTCTCAGCCACAAGAGGGGCTGTGAACCAGCTACTCCCTGCATTTACACTTCACTGCAGTTGGTTCCTGGATCTCTATCACAGCAAGCAGTCCCCATTTGCCATGCAAGTGTCCTCACTGCCTTGGTGGTGCCATGTCACATCATCTGCCTTCAGACACAAACACTGAACTGTAATACACTGGAGCAGCGAGGGGGAGACGCAGCTGAAAGAACAAAGTCTATAGAAAAATTCTCAGACATTTGACAGCCTGGTCTGAGAGCCAGGAAATGCTCCAGCATGTGGATCAGGGGAAAAACAAACAAAAGAGGTCTTGTTAAGCCATGAGAACAATGCCTGCAGCAGGCAGCAATACCACCACTCCAGCTTGCTTCCAGCTTGCAATAATAAGTTGTGTGGAATCAGCAGGTGAAAGAGAAACAAACCTGAATAACTCTTCAGGCCAATCCATTACACACTCCTCCTAACAGGGGAATCTGGTGCTGGCTTCACAGAAGAACCCTGCAGTAAACTCCTCTGGAAACAGAGGGGACTTCTTGACACAAAAAAGCAGCTATGGGAAGCCACAGCAATCGTTTGATGGTGTGCTGAGCAGCAAAAGAAACTAGAAATAGCTACTGAAGGCATATGGAGAAAGAAATACAAAACACAAGCATCAGGTGAGAAAAATTGCTGCAACAGCCAGCATGATACCTCAAACATATTTGGCAACAGAAACCAGATTCTGTATTCCAGCTTTTCTCCACAGCTTTATGATGGCATCCTCTTTGGTCTGCCTGATAATCAGCCCTACGCAGGATCACAGATGCAGGCTGTTCTGCCTTTCACACACACTCCTGCAAGCCCTGGGGATCCTAAACCATCTCCCAGCTCAGGAACAGCACAGCTCAACTCCCTCCCCATGCAGGAGGAACACAGCTGAAGCACAGCAAGAAAAGCTCGTTTCCCTCTGCTCAGCTCACTTACAAGCACCGCTCCCAGCCAGACAAGCAATCCCAGCAGAACCACATTAGAGCTCCTGTGCCCTGAACTGTGTTACAACACCAACTGTTTAGAGAAGGCTGAGAGTTCTGGTTTCTCTGCAGACTTGCTTTGCCTGGAATTCCTCGCAGGGCTTCTTTGCTGAAGCCTCAAAGAGAAAAGCTAAGAAGAAATACTGAAGGCCTAGCATAGATGCTCAGCAGCAGTACCAGCTCCAAACGGAGCTGCAACGGCGCACACATCCGCTCAGAAAGGAAACCTAACAGTTACTCACAGGCTCGAGCAGAAAAACAGCATGAGAACCAGTTGTAACAAGCCACTGCCGCATTCAAATGAGAAAAGCAGCTTCTTTTAATTGCTAACAACTATCGTTTGTACTGCCATATTTCCCCAGGGTGCCAGGCACAAACCACTGAGCCAAGGCACTCCGGAAATAGCAGGTTTTGCATATCCTGAGGTTTTCAGAGCACAGGTGCTCCCGTAAGGTAACAGCAAAAGGCTGCAGCACATCCTGCAGGGCAGAGCAGATCGCACTGGATGCTGGCCTGAATCCCTACGACTTTCATCTCCCAGCCCTGCAGACACAGAGGGACCAAACGTGTTCAAGCGCTTGACCTTGCATGCTAACAGCCCATTAAACCACCTCTGCTAACGACGTTTTATTACACGCCGTGCACATGGGAGCATGCACACCATCAAAGGCATCTCGGAGCCCTGACAGCAGCCGCCAAACGTTTGGAGTCATAAGCCACTAATAACACTCTGCCTGGCCCACTAGTCACGCACCTGCCCTGTGTTCACACACCCTCTCCGCTCCGGAGTCACGCAAGGCTCAATCCCATCCCTATTCCTGCCACTGCATCGGGGCTTGGTTTTCGAGCTTGAAGGAGGCCTTGGAGTGAGTGACCTGAGGTCAGGATGCTGCTGCGGTGGCACAAGCCACATCCTCTGCTCATGCGGAGCATGCGACTTGCTGAGCTCCTTCTGAGCTGTGAGCTCACAGCACAAACTCCTCAAACCAGAAGGCTGGCAGAGCCACCCTATCTATCCAGTGCAGTGTGGTTACTGCCAATGCTTCCTCTTACACCTCTCTCAATCGCTTCCTTCCAAACACAAGGTGTCACAAGCACACCTCTGCCATCAGCAAGACAAAACCCGGCGCCCAGTGGGTTAAAGCAAAGAGAACTGCTGGCACAGGATGAGCTCATGTTTAGCACTTGGCTTGGGCTACACTTTGCCCTAATTGCTCCCTCTCAGGGGCAGGCTTCAATGCCAAGAGAACTTCCCTTCTTCACACTCACGCAAGGCCCGACCAGTTCGACTGGCTTATCAGAACCAGGCTGAGGGAGTTAAATAAACTCTGACAGAAAGCAATCAAGGAGGCGACGGGTAAACCCACAAACAATAACACTACTGCAACAGAACTGAACTCCTGCCAACTTTAATTATGTTTGGGTTGGACAGTGCGCCTTTATTGTTTGGTAATGAAGGTAATAAAAGAAATTAGCTCAGGCCTTTTAATATTAAATAAATGTATTCTACAGCTGCCTGGAAGGAAAAAAAAAAAGAAAAAAAGGGGGACAAACGAAGCCTGAACAGTTCTGTGACACGCAGAGTATTGCTGAAGCCTGATTAAACATGAAGTTCAGCACACAGGGCACACTCTGTCCTGTGCACGATGACTACAGACAAGTTACCCTCTTCAGCTTCTCTATGCCACGCTACACACACGCTGCTTGGAGGAAAAAAACATCCCATGCCAGCAGAAGGACTAAGCTAACTGTCCTGAAGTTATCAAAAGAAGGTTTCCCCCAGGAAGGCCAGATCAATATTGCTGATGAAGTCCCAAACTCCAGCTTTCAGCTGGACAAAGCAAGAGAGAGGCAAGAGATGCTCAATCTTCATCTTTTACTCTGACAGTTGCTCTCCAGCTGCTAGAAGAATTAAAAGCAAGTTGCCTGAACACATGACACTGCCCTAGACTTTGGATTTCAAGGAAACTACACATAAAAGCTCCTTCCCTCCAGCAGTAAAGAGCACCGGGTTCCACTGCTGCCCAGCTCATGCTCAAAGATGCAGTTCCCTGCAGTGGACACAACCTGTGCCCATGTGAGGCAGGCTAGCTGTTTGCTTGCTGCCTCCTGAAAGGTGTAAAGCTGGAGCCACCTGCCTGCAGACTCAGGAAAACACAAGTCTGTGCCCAACACTCCAAACAAAGGCCCTTAAGGGTCAGATTATTATTATTAAGTCAGCATTATGTTTTAATTAAGACAAATCCTGCAGGAGCTTTGACTGAAGTTCCCCTGTTTGTTTCTCCAGCACTAATGCACAGTTCACTCTGGCCGAGCAAAAACCTGTCAGATGGACAGAGAGGCCTTCCCCATGAGCCTGTTCTTTTCTCCTGCAGTTGCACGAGGTGAACTTCATTTGCACCCTCCTCAAAGACCCCGCAAACATTCAGCGCACACAGTCACTGCAAGGCAGTTATCCACGGGCTGAAGCACTAAAACTTACAGAGAGAAGAGTCAGCCAAGGACACGGCACAGAAAAGCCACACTGCCATCATCCACACAGAACACACAGCCTCAGTTCCGCAGTCTGACCCTGGCACACCAGCTCTGCTTGCTGCCTTGATTTACTCTGAAGTGTATTTTCTTTTTCCATCTCCTTAATGCATGGAAAAGGAGTTGCTTGCAGGACAAGCTTGAAGTCCGAGTAAGGGGAAGCACAGAGAAATAAATGCCTTACCAGTAGCGCAGGGAAAGAAACAAATACCTCATCTATCTGGCAAACAGCCCTCCTCTCTACTCATCCCTGTGTGCTGTCTCAGCAATACCCACTGCTCACAAAGCCAGACTTCAGCTACAAGCCTACTGTGTGCATCAACAAGCCCTGCTCAGTGTGGGAAAGAAGGCAAGGTGTTGTGGCACACCAGAAATTTCAGTCTAGTTTGATGACTACAGGCCAGATGAGGGAGATTTTAATCCAGTTTAATCACCACGAACTGAAGCCTGCAGCACGCAGGCTGCATGTGATAGCAGTGATTAAAGGTAAGAGGAAAGGAGAGATGAACTGCAAAAAAGGAACCATTCAGAGACACAAAGATGACTGGGATTATTACAGAGTCACTGATGATGAACCCACGTGCTCCACCCTACCACAGATGTCTCTAGGCTCTAAGATATCAGCAGATCATTGGCTCTGGGGATACTGCTGAAAAACCAAATCCCAAAACACTGCTGTTTGAATTTGATGCTGATAGCCAGCAGGAGGAACAGAGACAGGCTCATGCCAATGGGCATTTCAGCTCTAGCCAGACAGCTTTGGAAGTAGACAGCTTACAGCTAACAGAAAGGATCAGCATCCTGCCCTTCCAGGGAGGGAGGTTTCTGTGAAACAGCTGTGCTTCCCTTTTAAGCATCATCTAACAGCAAGCAGACAGATCAATAGCTGCTAGCCCCAAGGAATAAAGAGCAATTAAGTATTTGGGAGTGATTCACCTGCAGAGCTCCAGGAATAGACACAATTCAGCCAAATCAAAGAAATACTGGGCTATGAGCTTTGGGTTTTCATTTCTGTTAGGAACAGATTCTGACCTTCATTCCCTTCTTCCTCCACCATAATCCTTTCCCCTCAGCTCCAGAGCACTGGGCAGATACCCTGCCCCACTCTGCCTCTGTGAGACGCCCAGCTTCCAAAGTCAGCTGAGCAAACCCCAAAGCATTTTGCACTGTGGGAAAAGCCGTGCAGCCTACATCTCAAATCTGAGATGTACTGAGCCAGGAATCCACGTTAGACTTCTCATGAAGAAGAGCTGTCCTCCCTGCAAAACTCACATATCTGCAATTATTTCAGGTATATATTGTATACAAAAGGTAATCGAAGGAGAAAAAGGGGGAAAAAAGCTTGATTTTTTGGCATCATAAGATTGGCTCTGAAGAAAGCATCCTGGTGGGATGCAGTGTCTGTTGAGCTTTGCTTACATCCTTCAAGGCTCTTCCCAGTCAGTAACAAACACTGAGACTGGAAGCCTGCAGAGTGACAAGGGCTGGAGATTCAGCTCACTGCCAATCACCACCAGCATCACTTTGTGTTCCTATAGCAGACAGAACGATCAGCCAGAGCTCTTAAGACAATCACCTTCCAGGCTGACCAAGGGAAAAAGAAATGCTGAACTACTTACTTCCCTTATAGCTAGAAAATGCTTTTTGCAAACAGCTAGAATGTTTTCTGTGAATAAAGAACCCTTCAGGAGTCCAGATACAATTCTAAACAGAAAATTCAGAAGCAGAAAGAAACCTTATCACAGATATATCCCAAAATAATGGCATTTGGGGCTCCTGGCATTGAGCTGACTTCAGCACTGCTGCTCTTTGAGTCACTGTAGCTTAGCATCCTCCTTTCAGCTGCTAAACAAAGAAATCCAGATTTCATCAAGTGACAGCCCATCACTGCTCCCAGCATACTGAATGCCCTTCTGTCCTTCTCACTGCAAAAAGCACTCGACTGAAAGCCAGGAACAGCAGGCAACTTACAACTGTTTACAAAAGCTTTTGCTAGCTAGCTAGTAGCATTTCCTAAGCAAAAGTAAACTTCCTCGGCTAACACAAAGAGAACTGCCCTGCGTGGGGAAAAATACATCAAGATCACAGCGATGGGATGCACAATTTGCAGGGCTGTGAACGTGCACCACACAGCACAGCAGAAGGGAGCTGCAGCTGGCAATACCTGTTGTGTAACATGACGACTTGTCTTCCAAACAGATCCAGAATCCCACACACGAGACTAATCACCCCGCAGCAGCTAATGAGGCTAGCAAGACCCTGCAGCTACAGAGAGGGTCACCACTCTCCCCTCTGCAGACTTGCCAAGAGCCAAACAAAGCAGCAGTGCTTTCACAGGGCTGCTCCCTTCTGCACGCTGCAAACAGGGTGCCAAGAGTTTCCATAGGAAAGAACAATAGAGTTCAGCAAATGATTTCGTTTCCAAGCCCTGAATTTCCACACTGAGGCTTGCTGCTTACAGCACGACAGTTTTCCTCCCAGGAATTATGCTTCTAGAAAATTGTATCAGCTGTACTTCTCAAACAGTCAGTTAGCTTTTGTTTCGGTCTAGACATACATAGAGGTTCTGTCTCTTCTAAAATAAGCCAAGCTAAAAGATGAATTGACAGATAACAAACTTGAAAATCCTCACACAAAGGAAGAAGTGCTTATTCACACATAGTACAGCCCATTGGGAGCCTCGAGCCACAGGGTGGTGCAGCAATACTGAAAGCTTGCACAGAATTAACATGTTATTGTTTAAACTAAGCAGAAGAAAAAGAAAAAAAAAGGCATCAGAAGCTATTAATACAGGCCTGAATTACCACTTCTGCTTCAGGAAGTTGTCAAAGATAGCAGATCAACAGGAAGATGGATGCCACAAAAGGAAAACTAAGATATCACTGCATAGCAGAACCAGTAAGAAAATGACATTTTTCTACAGAAAAGCAGCAAATCACTGTGGATGAATCAGCTTCCTTCCGACAAGCATTTCACACCCCAGTGGAGTTTTTCTGAGCAGAGAAAGAATGACAGGCCAAAGACTGAGCACACTCATGCTCCATAGCCAGACTGCCAGGGTCCAGCTATTTAGTGCCTCTCTATAAAGAGATCAGACATTTGATTATATTCTGATGTTGAAAAGCATCCCCAGGTGCCAAAGCTCCTTCACTCCTCTGCTTTGCACACTTTTTAGCACTTGCAAACTGAAGACAGGTCACAAGTAGGCTAAAGTTACAGAGAGTCTGCAGCTAAGTGCAGCATTACGTCAGACATGCTTCGTGGGACGTGTATGTATACAAAGATTCCCAGGTGACAAATACATTAGCATACAGAAGCAGCTCTTCAAGAAAACATCACTGGTGGTTGGCCAAAATAACAAACAAAACATTAGCAAACAGGAGATGAGGAGCAGTTTTACTCCTCCCCAGAGCCATGGATTAGGAACTCAGGAATGGTTCTCTGCATATAGATTTTAGGAGTGCTACCTCTCAGCAGACAGACAGCTCATCATGCTACCCCTTACCTCTATCCAACAGCCCATTTCATGGCAGTAAGGAACAAACATTAGACACAAGGGAAGAATTAAAGCCCACATAAAAAGCCATTTGTTTGGAATTATGGATGTGAAGAGCCAGAGCCATTTCTTTTTACACCAGTGACATTAAAAGCTCCTTTTAACCACGCAACGGTGAGGCACTGGAACAGGTTGCCCAAGGAGGCTGTGGATGCCCCATCCCTGCAGGCATTCAAGGCCAGGCTGGATGTGGCTCTGGGCAGCCTGGTCTGCTGGTTGGTGACCTGCACACAGCAGGGGGCTGGAATTGGATGAGCATCGTGGCCCTTTTCAACCCAGGCCATTCTATGATTCTATGATAAAATACTTGAAATCTCCTGCCTTCTATCAGGGAAGCAGGAATTGTGACATGGCTCCCATCAAAGCATGGCTCCTCCTCAGCTTCCATTCTTTTTAATCCAACCTTCAGTTTTGCTCCTTACTGCAGAAAACTTACCTTGCTGCCCTACCTGAATATTTTTTTTTAATCTCAAAGCTATTGCAAATAGAGTTTACACGCAGACAAAAGGCACAGACCCGACCTTACACCAGTGAACGTGCCACGCTGAGCTGACAGACACCCAGATGCACCCCAGCAAAGCTGCACAGCTTGCACCCCTATCGTGAAGGGCCATGGCATACCCGTGCAGAACTCTTTATTAGCATTCTGGGGTACCACAATCCGTCTGTAGACGATGGGCTCTGATTCCAAGATGTTCTCATCGTGCCGATAGCGAGCTGGCTTCTCGTTCGGGGTCCCGCGGGAACGGGTGCCGCTCCTCCTCTCGTAAGTCTCAATCTCTTCAAACACAGCTGCCTTGTCAAAAAGGGCCAGGTTCCCTTCAAAATCAAAATCTGTGTCTGGGATTTCATCGATGTCATCCCCGAAGCACTCGTCGTCTTTGCTCTTCATCTGTCCGTTTTTCAGCCCGCTCTTCTTTGGAGTCACCTGGTTTGGATGGCGGCTACTGGACGACCCTAAAGAAAAATAAGAGCAAGATCTGTAAGAGAGGAGAGCTCGTGTTTGGAGTCCACTGACCTAGGAGATGCTTGTTTCTCAAAGCACCTGCAGACCTCATCTTTGGTATGACTCATGCTGAGATAAGCCAACAGAAAACTGAAGAGAAGGCACCAGGGAAAAGAAGACTTTCAGGGACTTTCCTTTGGCAAGACTAGAAAAACAAGCTTGATCACAGTAGGTAAACCAAGCATTTCTACTCATGTAATTCAAGATAGTGTTATGTTAGTGATAAGATAACAAGAGAGCCCTGGTCTAGGACTATCTTACTCGTACTACACTGAGCTGATGTTCATGCAGCCGTGTAACCCAAGACCTTTATGGAGTTTTCCTATATTTCAGAACCTAATGCAAGTTCTTCTCTTCCAAAATAGGCTGCCCACCTCCTCATGACCTATAAAGGATTGCTTATAACCCTGAATGTGAAACACTGCTTTCTCCTCTCATTAACTACCAACAGATGTATTTCCATTCCCTTATCCATACCTCATTATTCTTTTTACCCACTATCTTGCTCGTTTAATTAGACTGCTTTCCAATCAGTAATTGTGAAAGCCTGCTTTCTCTGAAGTGATCCTGTCAGAAAACTTCTCCTTCTGATGGAGGATACAAAGCCATACAAAATTACAAGGCCAACACATCCTGCCTTTTTGCCTTCTGTACATTATGCACGTCATTCATATGCAACCCAATCCAGACAGTATTTACCTGACCTTGTTAAATCTGCGAATCACCACCTATGACATTCAACAGATGGAGAAACAGTTATGAGAGCAAAACAGCTCGTTTTGCTAAAACATTTATTGTATTTTAAGGTAATCATGCTGGAGTATAATTAATGAAAGTGTCTATATGCACAGAATCTGATAACACTGAAACAAATTACCACGAGACGACGCGTGCTCTTTGGTGCATGTCTGCTCCTTGACAATCACCTCCAGAAGTCCAGCAGCATAATTTCTTCCCCAATTTACACATTACTGACAATTAGTGAGGAAGGACGCAAAAAAGCTTCAGATCATCTAAGGATGTTTACAGAACAACCCACAGGCTTTCAACAGGCAAAACCTTCACGATGTCTGGACGAGTTACTTGCAAACCAAAAGGCTTTGTGGAGTCTTCCTTTCCTGCAAAACCATCTCCCTCCACTGACCATTTTCCTACAGCACTTTGTCGGCTGGGGCTTTGTTTACAATATGGCAACAGTTGGAATGCTCAGCTCATAGCAGAGTAAAACCAGCTAGCCCCAAGCACCCCTGTTAGCACTAAACGGAGGTCCCTGCAGCAACACAACTTCCCTCCAGAGTTCATTCTAACCTCACTGTATCTCTAAGCATAGCATCAAAGCCACTACAAAGCCACAGTCATCAGTGCAACGGTCAGCATGAAATGCTGGGTACAGCATTTGTCAACACTTTCTAGAGTCTCAATAACAATTTGCTGTTATTACTAACTATAGCAGGTAGCTCGTCTAAAGACTCATTTGCAAGCTGCTAAAGACTTCATGGTTTGTAACTGGGTGAGAACAAACTGCTGAAATACAGGTTTTGTTAAGAAGCCACTCAAGTGTAGAGAGCAGAATTGAAGAATTGCTGGTAACAACATAACTTAGAGGGCAAGGACAAGCTGTATACAAGCTGCAACCAGTTATTTACATACAGTTTTAAGTGAAAGCTTCTGCTAGCACAGTTTTCACCCTCACCCCCCTCAGGAAGGATTCCCAAACGAAAGTTAACACACAAATCACACCAAAGCTGTACACAACTTGACGTGGAGCTGGCAGACATTGCACTCAACACTGCTGCTAACAACAGCACGAGAAACAAAAACCCAGGCCAACACAACAGGCCAAGTCTCCAAACGTTTCACTGACTGCAGGTCAAAGCAATAGTCAAGAGACTCCAAGTTCACACAAACAAGAGCCTGCACTGAACACAATGAGAGAACAAGCCCACATCTTGTGTGAATGTCAGATGTTATGGCAGCTCGGTCTGTTCCTGTTACCCAACAAGAGTTCTTACACTCACTGCCAAGTTTTTCTCCAACCAACTCTCCCCTACCCTCAGCTGACCCAAAAAGCAAACTGTGGGGATGGACAGCCCCACAGTGCAGCAGATCCAGGGGACAGAGGCAGCTGATGTGAGCAGCGTGTAAATGCTGACTGAATGAAAAACTGCATTAGAAAAACGGCAAGAACAATGGCTGGAAAGCTCCTCAGGCTCCCCTGCAGATCCAGTGAATGGGAGCCAAGACCATACCTCATCAAAACGAGCCGTGCCAGCATTGTGCTGGGCAGCTCTCTAATCCACACCAATAGATTCCAGCCCTGAAATGCTGCTGACCCCACCACAGGCTGTTTTATTATAGTCTGCATAACCACCCACTAACAGGGGCTGCTGAGGCTTCCTACTGCTCCAAGCAAAGGTCAGTGGTGCTCCTCTTCCTCTCTAGATGGGCAAAGAGGCAGGCAGCTGGCACCAAGGGAAAAGGGCCTAAAAATTGGGCGAGGGGAGGGAAGGGAAAGCTCATGCTAACAGAAGTACCAACAGCCTTCCAGGTTGCTAGTGTGACTCTACCCCAGGGCCTTCTCTGAAAGCTGCTATTCACAGCTCTGCTTGGTTACAAAGCCTGATCCCCATCCTCTGCCAATCAACCACAGCAACTCAGAGCTTCCAGCTCAGCTCTCTTTTCAGAGCCACTCTCAGAGCCTCCACTCTGCGTGCACGTGTGCACAGCATACCAAGGAGAACAGCACATCTCCACATCAAGCTAGCAGCTTGATATTGCACAGAAAAAAAAAAAAACAAAAACCTCCCTATAAAGACAAGCAACACTTCCCAGCCTCCTGGTTTGTTTCTTAGAAATATATTTTATGTATAGCATACAAGCAAATGTAAAGCCTCCAGTCAGTTGGCTGCCTTTCCTGGCAGACCCCTGCAGGAGCTCTCAGCAGCAGCCCTGGCATGCAGAGCCCCACTCAGGCACAGCAGTACCCCACTGTGCAACCTGCACTGCTGCTTGGTGCTTATCAATGCCAAGGCAGAACTCTCTCCCTGACTGAGCACACTAAAGGGCAGCAAAAGGTCGACTTTGAGCCATGCAAAGCATGGACACAGTACAGCTGAAGTGCCAGACGACATCCCAGCCCATCCTTGCCTTGATTCCTGTGGCCAGGACCACCCCCATCCCACTGTGGAGAGACTCATACATTATTTGGCCTGCTCTCCAAATAACATTCCAGAGGGTAAGAGATCAATTTTTAGCTGACAATGAGGCCAAGCAAATAAGAACCTATTCCTAGCACCTTGCACAACATGTTTCAGACAAAGTCTGTAAAAGAAAAATCAGACCCACTGTTGTGCTTATGTAAAAATATCCAAGCTGTTGGTGGGCTGAAGTACTTTGAAGCCCTCACTGCACACCCCACACCTACCAGGTGCTGTTATGTGAAGTGACCTGGCCACAGGCTCTGCTCAGCAAGACCAAATAAAACAGGAGTTACAGCAGATAACTAGGGGTAGAAGGAAAACAGGCAGGCTTGAAGATGGCTGGTTCACCAAGGGGCACGTGCCCTCCCCTCACATCATTCTGCCTTCCTCCTCCCACTTAACTGCTTGGCAATCTCTTTAAAAAAAAAAAAAAAACAACAAAGAAGTGAATATGAAACTTCAGAAGTGGTCCTTCCAAGAACACAAAATTGCATCTGTTAAACGTCCTGAACTGATTAAACTGACAGAAATCAAAGGATTACAGTTGTTTCAGAAAATAAGCTGTTGGTGGGGGAGGAAGACTTCCAGAGGTCCAGGAACTTCTCCAGACAACATCCAGCCTTTGATCTCCCTGTTTAATTGGCCCTGTCCACCTTGGGTTTGTTTGTTTTCCCATACACAAAAACAAGGGGGAAAAAAATTAAGTCGTATATCCTGATGCTGTAATCATTGCATGATAAAGATCTGGAAGGGAGCACAGCCCAGGGGGCTTCATGGAAGAAAAAAAACAGTGGTGAAAACAAAAGAACATACCCAATTTTGGCACAGCATGAGAGCTGGTTGAGGGGTTTTTTTTTCAACAGGAATAAAAACAGGGACTCCTGGCTTTGAGATGCACTGATTCTATCTTGACATCATTCTCATTAGAGGATGCTGTGTTGTTAAAAACACAGCAAAAACCACTTGTAATTACTTGTAGGGCAATGTTCTAATCAGTTATGGTTATACATGCTTTAACTAGAAGAGCTTCACACTATCATAATCTGGTTCTAGTTCGTTTTAGAGGAAAAACTGAGGCTGTCTTTTGGGCCATTTTCAATAAGGAAAGATAACAGGAGTTAGGAAATCATTCTAACCAGCATTATCCAGCCCTGTCTTTTGCAACATTTCATGCTGATGAAGCAGAACACACAGGCTGTTCTTCAGACTGAACGAAGATGGGCAGAGTTAAACAACAGCAAAACATGGCACAACTGCAGTGCAACTGATCTTTCCATTCAGCTCATGCCCCCAAACACAACTTGCCCTTTCTGTTTTGTCATAAGCAGTGCAGCAGAGCATCTTCCCACAAGCTCTTGGATATACTCTCCTCCTGAACACCAGCCCACAGGGCTGGAGAGTGTAAGGAGAAGCAGCTGTGTTCTTCAGCACCTGCTGTCCCTCTTCACTGCGTGTCCATTCGTGTCTTTTCCCTGCTGTCCCCCCCAGATATCTGCTCATTCCTTTTCTCGATCCAACCTCTAACCTCCCGCCAGCAGAAAGAGAAGAAAAGGGTAAGAAGAGATCATGCTAGCTTTTATGGGCCAGAAACAACATCAAGAGCTCCTCACCACCCTCCCAACCTGTTGGCCACAGGACTGCAGCACACAAATGTTGCCTTGGCCCCCTGCTACTTACTGCAGAAGCCAAGGAAATCACCCTACTCTTGATTTTTAGCTGATAAAGTATTGTAACAGCCAGAGATTTGACTGCATGAACATTCTCACCAAGTTCTGCATGAGATCACACCACCACCATGAAGGAAACATAAACAATGAATCACAGGATGGCCTGGGTTGAAAAGGACCACGATGCTCATTCGGTTCCAACCCCCTGCTGTGTGCAGGTCACCAACCAGCAGCCCAGGCTGCCCAGAGCCACATCCAGCCTGGCCTTGAATGCCTGCAGGGATGGGGCATCCACAGCCTCCTTGGGCAGCCTGTTCCAGTGCCTCACCACCCTCTGGGTGAAAAACTTCCTCCTCATATCCACCCTAAACCTCCCCTGTCTCACTCTAAACCATTCCCCTTGTCCTATCACCACCCACCCTCACAAACAGCCGCTCCCCCTCCTGTTTATCCGCTCCCTCCAAGTACTGGAAGGCCACAATAAGGTCTCCCTGAAGCCTTCTCTTCTCCAAGCCAAACAAGTCCACTTCCCTGAACCTTTCTTTGCATTGCTTTCCTTCATCCTCCACCTCACTGCATATTCTCAAGAAGCCTGCAAGAACTTTTCCATTTGCCATGTCATTGCTCTTTGTTTCAGCGTTTAACCTTTCAAGTGCAAAACCTTTGCAAGATCCATACTTGCAATACTCTGAAGCACAGCTAAGTCTCTCCTCACCATCCACCTTTCTCTTCCCCAGACCTTTGGGAAAACAAGCGTGAAAGCAAGTAGAACTTTTGTTTGAAATACAATTGCTGACCAAGGGCATATATTGCAGCAGTAACCCAGGCAGGAAGGAAAGTGACAGGTGAACACACATACTCACAAGAATTGTGCCTACGACGAAAGCCTTTGGATTGAGTCAGGGTTTCCATGTGCCGATCCATGTAGCTCTTGGAGCACTGCTGCTGGGGGGAGATGATAATATCCTGATTCTTCATGTCTGTCCTCCTCGGGATGCTCTGTGGGGCACTGCTGGAGAAGGGCTTCTTCAACATCTTCCCTGTGCCATTCTGGCTGGGCCCCACTTGGCAGCCAACGCCAGGGATGCCCGTGTCTGCCTGCTGCAGGTCCCCACACTGCCTGCTGTCCCCTGGCCCTGGGATCTCTAGAATTTTCAGCTCAGTGATGTCACCTGCCCTAAAAAAAACAAGAAAAGAAAACCAGTTCAAGATTCAGCATTCCAGTTATTTTACAAAGAAAAACAACCGACGTCGGACAGGGGATCAGTTAGGGGTTTCTTTAGGTGCCATTATCAGTGGAAACAAGAAAAAGAAGGAATTTAATACTCAGGCACATATATTCCAGGCATCAAAACATTCAGCTGAAATCACATGTATTAGTAAAAACCTCAGTATTTCTGTGCTGCACCTGGATTTTGTTCTGGAGGTTCTGTTCCCAGCTTAAAAAGGAATCAATCAAGCAAAAAAATAATAATAATAATTTTTAAATGAAGGCAAACAGCACAGATCTTTCCAAAAATCTGTACCTTAACAGTTTCTAGATAACAATTATCCTCAGCCTGGAAGCTATTTTTAATCCATATCTACATAAAGCTATCATTAAATTAGTGCAATTCACACTTGGACATAGTTGGCACTTGCTGTTTCAGGAGGAGGATGATGTAACTAATGTAGCAGCGAGTGTGAGCCAAAACAAAACAAAGAAGTGGTTGCAAAGACCTCCATCTGGACTGATTGCAAGACATAAATTAGAAGTTCAAGGCCTCAATTTCAAACTTAATAAGTACGTGTCCAAGTGGGATGCAGAACTAACAGCAGAAAATTAGCAAGTGCCTGCTAAAGACTTCCACTTGTCCTGGAAAAACATGGGAAAGGACAATGACCAACCTCCTTCCAAATGCCAGTTCTTTAGGAAAAACAGTTCATCCCCTGATGTTAGTGCTTTATCTTAATTAAAAACAAAAATCAGTGGCTTGGAGACTTACATTCTGTATTATGAAAGTTGCACTGGAAATAGGAAAATGTCCAGTGACAAACAACTCTTATTTGTTCTTTTCTTGACCCCCAGTGTTACCAGGAGCTGGTAGGAAGCAGCACATGAGAATGACCACAGTGCTGCTCTGGTTCAGCATCCTGCTCCCAAACTCCCTCCTGTCCACACGGCGGAAAGAACGTGGGGCAAAGAGAAAGGAGGTGGTGCTGGCTTTGAATAACTGCACGTAATTAAATTGTACTGGGGCAACCGACCTAATAAAGTGCAACCAGAGAGTGGTAAAGTGTTATACACACTGAGAGTGAAGTTTTAAAAGAGGACCAACTTCTCAGCTAGTAAAGAACTGAGTAGAATGTGTTCACGCAATACATATAGAGCCAGAACAACAGTCCTGTGCACAAACTAACAGAAACACCAGAGGCACTGCTCATAGGAAGATGCTCACAAGCAGCAGGAGGATTTAAGGCAAAGAGCCTTCTCTAGGAGGAAAAAAAAGCAAAACACCCATCCAACCCTCACCTGGAAAAGACACAGCAGTCACTGGGACCAACACTAACCTGAAGGTGACTTCTGGCACGAGGCACTTGACCCCGTTGTGGAAAGGCCGCGTAAGGGAGATGGTCTGGCTGACCTGATCCACTGCAGACACTCGCCCTTGGTAGACTCCCAAGCTTTCTCCACAGTTAATTGACACGATGCTCCCAAGCCAGTCCGTAGCCATATTTCTGGCACACAGTTGCTGCAAAGACACACAGGCCTGGCTGTGAGAAGACGCAGACGTGACAACCTGAATCAGCATCAATCGCATCCCCCACCCCACGCGTTGGCTCCCACCCAGGCTCTGGCTTCATCAGCTTCTCTCCTCTTTGTGAGCTGGAAATTACATCCACATGGACAGGGCTCTGCTCAGCAGCCTGACTTTAACCACATCACCCTTTGCATAAGTGAAGAAATCATTCTGTAGCTGTTTGTCTCAAAATCTGCTTTCAACTGCTATTTGTAGCATCCTGTTTTGCCTGTGTACATTCTCCCTGTGGTTTCAAACAGGGAATTTATCTTCCCTCTGTACAGACAGTGAGGAGAACAGCTTGTGTGAACTGGTGAGGACACTGATCCCGGTGAGTACAAAGAAACCCAACACCTTAAATCATAGAACGGCCTGGGTTGAAAAGGCCCACAGTGCTCATCCAGTTCCAACCTCCTGCTGTGTGCAGGTCACCAACCAGCAGTCCAAGCTGCCCAGAGCCACATCCAGCCTGGAGGAATGCCTGCAGGGATGGGCATCACAGCCTCCTTGGGCAGGAGGAAACCTTTAAGGGAACGGGCAGGTAAAGAAAACAACACCAGAGTCCAGAACAAAAGTCTCCAGAGCCAGGAGGACCAGCATCATAAACAAAGCACGCACAGCTTCCCAGCAGCTGCACTAAGTTCTACAAGAACATAAGAAACACAAAGGTGTGCTGCATGCTCACACCATCAGTCCCATGTAACTCCCTCGCAATTCTGATGCTTGACTGAACTTGCATCAGCACACTTTGAAGCTGCTGAAGGCATCATTTGATCCCAGGCTTTATTTTCCAGCCAAACAATGCAGGAAGATAACAGGCTTGTTGCCATCACAGCACTACAAAAGCTAACAGGCTCTCAGGAAACTAATCACTGCATGCATTTGCCTTTCTCTGTGGGATATTTGCTCAGTTTACCAGATGCTTGTTAAAAAACACAAAGGAAGAATGCGCAGAACATAAGCCTGGGAAGATTAACATCACTACATCCCACATTTTTATGAGGCATTTCCATTCTCTCCTTTCTGTTCTGAGCTTCCCAGAAAAGAGATAGAAAGAAGAAAGCCACTACAAATAGCTAGGACATATACATGATATCAGGAAAACCAAACCAAACCTCATTTCCATGAGCTTTCAGGAGACTTAAAGTGTGATGCTTAAAGGGAAGCGAACACCAGACCTGGTCACCACGCTGCAGATTTTAGAGCCTCCTCACTTTCTTGCTTCTATGTATTTACATTAACTCACAGTAACAATGCCTGGATTCCAAGGTGACAGCCAATAAAAAGCACTTCCAAAACACAGACAACACAACACCCCAAAGCATCTGCAGCAAAACTAGGATTTCATCCACAGAATATCCCAAGTTAGAAGGAAGCCGTAAGGACCCAGTTCAACTCCTCCCTTCTCAGCTTTTCACATCTTTTGTAAACGAGCCAAAGAGCTTAGTACAAATCACCACCCCAAAAGGATCCCTTTCAACGAGTCTCTCTACAAAAGCATCACCATGTTTGTAAGCAAACATAAACAAAGGAACTCCTGATCTCAGATACTCTCACTTTATGGGCACATCATTCAGAAGGAGGCATCACCCATCTAGTCAATGAATTACTCAATCACAAGGAGAAAGGCGAGCACGCTTGTTTGTTTACACACGCACAGAAAGGCAAACTTCCTGTCCAATGCTCTCCCTCATACTCCCAATTTCTGCCCCCACAACCGACAGATATCTCCAATTCCAATTCCCTCACACACCGTATCTCGGATATAAGCTAATGATACCCCGTTAAATAATACAGAACGCCAATTAACACGCGCTCGCAGCGTTTGGAAAGAAGGGAGCGGAGCCTGACAGCCCGGGATGAGCATGTGGATGTACACAGCGCTCTGGAAGAAGGAAGAGGGAAGGCACGAGGCCCGCCTCCCCCTACCCCAATGATGAGCTGGCACTGAGGGGATCCCGGCGGTGCAGCAGCAGAGCGGCCCGCCAGCCCCTGGCCCTACAGTTCAGCCCAGCCCAGCCCATCCCAGCCGCCCTGAGCACAATGCCCCGCAGCGCTCAAGGCCCGGGAGGACCTAGCGGCGGCCCGCCGAGCCCTTAGGCCCAACTCCCGGGCCCGCTCCCGGCCCCGCAGGCCTAGCGCTCCGCAGCCGCTCCCCCAGGCTCCGGAAAGGGCTCAGCACCACGGTTGGGCCTCAGAGCAGCGCCGGACGAGGCCCAGCCCCCGCCAGGCCTCCAAGGCCCGGCCCCGCCTCACCTTACAGCCGCCGCCGCCGCTCGTCGCCCGTCCGCCACCGCCTCCCCTCACGCCTCTGCGACGTCCGGAATACGTCACTTCCGGTCCCACCCGACAGCGCCGCTCACACCGCCGGCGGGCGACCATAGAGAGGAGCGGACGAGAAAGAGAGCGCAAGGCGCATGCGCGATGGCGCAAGGCTACTCAGCCTTGGTTTTAGCTGCGGAGGGGGCTCTGCGCATGCGCCGAGCGCTGCAGAGCGCATGCGCAATGTGCGCTCGCTGCCCTGAGTGGCTGTAGTGCTGCTACGTCACCGCCTCAGTCGCACCTTTGGCAGTGCTGGATCGTAGAGCTGTGGCGTGGTGTCATGGAACGGCTTGGGTTGGACAGGATCCCCTCCGTGATCTTCACCGTGCATGCTATCACACCTCCACCCCTGCTCTCACCTCCACTGCCCCCCTGCCTCCCATCCTCCATCATCTCCATCACCTCTACATGCCGCGTTATTGTGGCTCCTGGTGAGGCTACAGAGCCTCAGAGGACAACACCAGGAGGAAGGCTCCTCTTAGAGGATGCATTGAGTCAAGCCTCTAGTCAGACACCCCTGCAATGAACAGGGGCATCTGCAGCTAGGTCAGGGTGCTCAGATCCTCATCCATCCTGACCCTGAGTGTCTCCAGGGTTGGGGTTGGACCTTGGTGCTCTTTTCCAACCTTAATGCTTCTGCGATCCAGCACCCACAAAGACAGCAAAGCTCCCATCAGTGTGAATGCTCAGTTCAGTTCCCCCTAGGAAAAAACCCAGATTCAACCAGACCTTTGAGGACAGAGCTCTGATCCACGTTGCCCTCCCAGTAGAATGAGACCAGCAAAATGCAGGAAAATTTCGTGTTTATTAGGTTAGAAAACCTGGGCAGCCTTTACCTCTGTAAATGAATGCCTTTTTATGCAGGACACAGAAAACAGGCACTGATGCAACATTTGCCAGGAGGATTTGCCCTGCAGTCCTCAAACCCTTCTCTTTATTAGTCATAATGCATAAATGTATTTAATTTAAAAAAAAAAACAAATAAAAAAAAAAAAAAAAAAAGCAGCAGCATATTGCATAATCTGGAAGCCAGAAGTGTTTTCCTGTGCCTCTTATTGCTCTGTGTCCCTTCTTATCATTCATTTGGTATTTCCTAGGAGGCTTCTCATTAGGAGGCCAGCTAATTATTTCATGTGCGAGCAGCGCTACTTGTATAATGCATTTCTATAGTCAGGATGCCACCAGTGTGCAAATGCTGGGGGATCCCCTGCGTGAAGTCATTTCAGGGCACTCGTCCTGAGCACTGCAGAGCGAAGCATCACGGAGATGGGAGCTTCTCCATGCCCTCAACCCCACAAGGCTTGGCTCTCTCCTCCCTCCTCACGCAGAGCTCTTGGTGGCGAAGCGCTTCTTCATCTGGAAGCACTCGCACTGCTTGTACTTCATGGTCAGCCCGTACTGAGGGGTGACGTCCACCTGCTGCCCGGGGGCCAGGCTGATCTCCAGCTGCTGCAGGATGGTGGTCAGGAAGAGGAAGACCTCCCAGCGCCCGATGGATTCCCCGATGCACCGCCTCTTCCCCAGGCCAAAGATCACCACCTTGTCACCCTCCATCTTGTTGATTTCGGTGCCGGATGCGTTGAGGAAGCGCTCGGGTTTGAAGGAGGAAGGATCCTTCCAGGTCTTCCTGCAGCAGAAGGGAGAGATCTGAGCAAGGTGCTGTGGCCAGCGGCCAAAGAAAGCTTTCGTTTCCCCATCCTAAAGCAGCGGCCCTCTGCTGAGCCTCTGTTCCTGATCCGCAGTGCCAGCTGCACGTCAGCCCCTATCAGCTCATCCCACTGAAACCTCCACTTTGAACTCTCATTGTGTTTGCCTGTGCAAATACCAGGATTGATTGAACTGGGCACATAAATCCAGGACGTATTTCAGCTGAAACAGGAGCACGGGAATCAGGCAGGAAGGATGGGAACCGGAGGGATTTCTTCTCTGGCATTCTCCCTGCAAAACCTCTCCAGCCTGCCCCAGCCTAGCTGCACTGGGGGATTTCCCAGCATCTCAGCCAAGGGACTGCTGCTTGGATTTGGGGAAACACATTCCCACATAGCACAAAGCTTCTGACACCTGGTCTGGGAACCCTTTTTGCATCCATCTGCCATCATGTTGCATTCATGCACTTATAAGGATGGATCTGAGCTACTCTTGTGCCTGGTGCACCTGGTTAGGAACACTTTGGTGTACTCACTCATCGTGGTTCACTTGCCACTGGTTGACAAATACGCAGGTGTTCTTGGGGATGTAATAACCATTCAGCACAGTGTCTTTTGTTGTACTGCAAGAGAAACGGGAGGAGAAGTTGAGAGGAGACTGGCAGCTTTGTCATGACCTCCAAAGAGACAAAATCCAAACAGTGCTTACCTGTGTGGGATGGTGAAGGGCAGGAGGGAGGTGTGCCGGAACACCTCCAGGATGAAGGCTTCTGTGTAGGGCAGCATGCCTCGGTCAGACAGCCGTGGTGTCCTCTCCTGGCCGATGGTCTGATCTGTGGGGTGCAGACAGGAGGAGCTGGTTGGGGCCAGCCCTCGGTGGAGGTCCCAGCCCTGGAGAAGTGGGTTGAGGAACTCACCCAGCTCTGCCTGAATCTTCTTCTGGATGTGGGGATACAAGGCAGCGTACAATATGCACCAAGACAGGGTGGTTGTCACGGTGTCAAAGCCTGGACAAGCACAAAAGAAAAGTGTTTAGATGCCAAAAGAAGACAGGTAGGAGGATATTTGCAGATCCCGGCGCCCTCAGTGCTTTGGCTGATGACACACAGCCAATATTTGCCTTGGAGCAGTTCCACCATCAGCCACCACTGCAAAGCCATCTGCTCTGAGCCCACGGTCCCTCCAAAACCCCAGGCTTCCAATCCCATCTGCCAGCAGCAGATGGGGCTGCACCCACCGAGATGCCCTCACCTGCCCCAAAGAGGTCGTTGACGATGGAGATGATGCTCTCATCAGAGGGTTGGACATGGACATCCTCCCCTGTCTTCTTCTCCTGGCAGTGCCCAATCAACGAGTCCGTGACGTCCCGAATGTGCTCCTGGGAAGAGCCAGAGGGTCAGAGACACGAGGGCACATGGGATGGGGAAAGCTGGAGGCAGTGAATGCCCGCAGGAAAGCAGTGAGATGATATGGTTTGAATTTTGGGGGGTCCTGCGTGGGGCCAGGAGTTGGACTTTACGATCCCTGTGGGTCCCTTCCAATTTAAGGTATTCTAGGTAGGTAACAAAGCCAACCCAAAGGGTGAGGAGAACTAGGGATGTGCTAGAGAAAAACCAACAGTTCCAGGAGCCCCACCGCATACTGCAAGCATCAGAATTAGATGTGAGCCTCCTCCATGGCATGTTGGTTTCATCAGGCAGAAAGCAGAGCAAAAGCTCGAATTCTGTGCCTTCTTTCAGTGATGTCAATGAATGGGATCATGACAAAGAGAAAGAGCAGTGAGGCAAAGGAAAGGTTTGCCGCAGAACGGCACCCAAGCTCTTACCTTGTCAAAGGTAGTGTAATGGTTCTGGACGATTTTCTGTATGAAGGCATCGAAACGAGTGTTGACATCCTTAAAGGCAGCCATGGCACGGTTGGGGAGGTACCGGAGCAGTGGGATGAAGTCAGAGGGGTTTCCAGCAGCAGTCACATCCCCAAACTCAGTGTTCATGTTCACCACGCTGAGCAGCTCCTGGTCGTCGTGGTCGTAACGCTTGCCAAAGCAAATGGCACAGATGACATTGGCCACTGACACCACCAGGTAGCTGTAGGGGTCAAAGCTCTGCTTCCCCTCCATCAGCTGCAGGAATTTGGTGACCAGGTAGCTGGCCTCGTTGGTGACGTGCTCCTCCAAGAGGCAGCTGGAGGAGGCCGTGGGGCTGGCGGCGATGGAGAAGGTCTTCAGGGCGTTCTGTGCCAGCTTCCTACGGGCTTTCCAGGCATCCCCACATTCGTAGCTGAATGCCAGGCTGTGGCCATTGGAGATGTACTTAAAGCTGGGCAGGTCAGGGCGTCCCATGAAGTCTTCTGCTTGCCTCACCAAGGCTTGCCTGATGGTTTCCAGCCCGCTGAGCACCACCACGGGCCGGGAGCCGATGGTCACCTCCATCACATCCCCGTATTTGCGGCTCATCTGGGTGAGCACCAGGTGTGGGTCCTTCCTCAGCTCCAGCACACTGCCCAGCACTGGGAGCCCACGGGGACCCGGGGGTCTGCGCAGCCCCTTGGGTGTGTGCTGCCGGCGGGTCTGGGTCAGCAGCAGGAGCAGGCAGAAAGTGGCAGCTGCCACCAGCACCTCGGTGGCCGAGATGAGACCTGAGCTGCCCACCTGTGCCATTGCTGCCTGCGATGCCGCTGCCATCTGGAAGTGAACCTGGAGGGGAGAAAGCGCTGATGGAGAGGAGGATCCTCCACCAGATATTGGGGTTTGAGATTGTGGGTGACCCCACGCAAGCCACCGGGACCCCCTCGCTGCCCAGAAGCGATGGCTGCAGGTGGGATGCTGGAGGGTTGGGGATGGGAATGCTCACCTCTGGGTGCAGCTGTCCCACGAGGGCCCGATCCTGCCACCAGGTACCCGCTGTCCCTCCGAGCCTGCTTTATATGCATCGCCTCCCGCTGCCGTTGGCCGGGACACCTCCCATCACGTGACCCAAAGTTGAACTGCGGCCAAA